TTTTTTCTCCTCCCCCCCCCCCCCCCCCCCCCCCCGCTTTGATCTGAATATCTTCATTTGTTTGAAAGTATCCCTCTTCCTGGTAAAATACTAGTTTCAACAGTAAATGCTTATTTGGGAAAGGGTCTGAGGTCAAAGGCACACTTAAGAGAGAGTGGTTGAATGCTGAATCCTGGGTGGGTCAGCAATGAGGTGTTTCCTGAAAAGTGAGAGCTGCAGTCGGGCGATCTCTGCTCTGCTGTGTCAGTATTTATGCAGACTGGATCAGGACTAGCAGGAGAAGTGGAGGCACCCTATGGTAGCTGGCACCAGGGTGGCTAGATCTGTTTTCTCTGATGTGGGCTGTGGCAGGGCGACAGCGTGTTTCTAACACCACAGGTGGATGTCTAAGCCATGGGGCTGTTGGCAGCTCTTTTTTTTTTTTTTTTAGGGAGGATGAAAACACCTTTTTTGAAAGGGTTTAACTTTGTTCAGATGTGGGATGGGAACATTATTTGTGGAGGGGCAAAGCAGATCCACCCAGGCCTGCTCACACCCAGCAGTTAGGAAAATAAAGGGTGCCGGTCTGCAATTGAGGTCTGTAATGTCAAGCACAACCCAGCTAATACGCAGTCTGTGGACCCATGCAGATGAGTTAATTCATGTTTCTAGCCTTTCAGAGAATTTCCATGCAAAGCTACCTGACTGTCATGTACGCTGGTCAAAGCAGGATACACAGCTTATATGCGTGCTGGTGTGCTCTGCTCCACTGTCAGAAGAGAGAGTGAGCTGTACCAGGGTGAGGTTGTATATGCTGACAAAACCAGAAAAATAAAGGACTGTCAAGCAATAGAAAGGCTTATACAACCAGGCTACTTATGTGGGACAACCATCAGGTAAACCTGGTTGCTTCAGAAACAAGCCTCAATATTTAAAGGCGTAATTGGAGGAGAGCTGACAGCTTCAAAGTCACACTTTTGTCTGGAAAGTTTGTATGGGATCATATCTTGTTGGTAACAAGCAACAAGGACTGTAGCAGACTGAAACTCTGTGGATATTGCCCCTACACTGCATGTTTGATTGTTCTTACATTTGTCTTTTCAATAGGGAGATGGAGATGCACTTAGTTTAACACTATTTTAGTATCTTGAAGTGGTTTCTCGTAGGCTGCTTTGCAGATTTTTAGTTTTGATGGTTTTGATTTATTGGATCTTTTTCTGGTCCAGCTTTTTGCTTTTTTTTTTGTTTTAGGTTTTTTGTGGTTTTTTGGTTTTGATTTTGGTTTGGTTTGGTTTGGTTTACGAGTGGAGCTTGTTAAGTTTAATAATCTCTTAGGTATTTCATTTTCATATGTGTATCCTGCTCATTGGAAAAGATGCACAAATGTGGAGGTGAAATTATGATTGAAAATGTAGGTTACAAAGATCAGAAATAAAAGAGCTGCTAGAGGGATGGGAAATTCTGGGGTTTACTTCTTCTCCTATTCCCTGTACATTCATATAACCTGTGCTATATTTCCCTGAGTCTGCTAGAGGAGGGGGAAGTTCCAGGTGCCCTGCACGTTATGCATACAAAATGTGGTATTACAATTGAAGATCCCACATTGAGCAAGTCAAAATTAGAAACATTGTAATGCATCATTCTGGACACTGGACAGCACATTTCCACTTTAATCCCTTCTGCAGCACTGTGATAATTCAGTGATTAGGATATGTGTGTGTATATATATATATATATATACAAAAAGTTGTTTTGCGCTTGAAGAACATGATACTGAGAAATCTTTGGGCTGCTCACTGCAGCTTACATGCAGAGAAATACAAGGCTGCCCTCAAAGCCTTTTGTTTGACTTGTGTTTATTTTTTTCCTCTTATCTGTGGATTGTGGGGTTTGGTTCTCTTGGGTTCTTTTGCTTTGTATTGACAGGAAAACGGATGAATCATGGTATTTGGAAGCAGAAAACAGGCTGTTTGATTATCACTGCTGGGAATGCTGTGTAGTGAAACTGCGTGAGGGCGTAGGTGGTTCTACTTCTGCTCGTCTTGCAACTCCTAAATATGATCGTAAACAGCTGAATCTGTTTTCAGGCTTGCAACTCTGCTTGTAATTACACCCACCTCTGTTTGGAGTATATGCTTTATCATCAGTGTGGGTTAAAGGACATTTCTGGGAGGCATGATATTTGAGGTTGTTCCACACCTTCTTGAGTGGCTGCTTCTGGCTGCTGAAGCTTGTGTACACATGGAAGTGCGCTTTTGTCTGTGCTCATGATCTGTCTACTTTGTTTCTAGGGCTCATCACAATAAAAGAAGCCCATGATATAGAAGCCAGACTTAATGAGGTGGAAAAGCTTCTGAAGACTCTTATAAACATGCCATGGAAGGTGAGTAAGCCAAGTTCCACATTTAGCCCAGTTTGACTCCTCCTTCATGGTGACATGCACTTTCATGCAGATTAGAAAGTGATGGGCTTTGCCAAACTCTGGAGAAAAGCAGCAGGTTATTGAGTATCTTAGAGAAGTGATGAGTGCCAGAACTGTGTGATGATGTCTCCAAGCTGTTGCTTGTAGTAAGTCTTTCTGTTGTACTGAGAAAGAGTGGAAAAAGAGAAGAGGCACAAAACAAACTACTGGCAAAAAATGGATGTCTGTTTCTTTTTCTCTTTTTAAGTATTCAAGATCTGAAGTTGTCCTCACATTCTTTGAGAGATCTCCTTTGGACCAAGTTCTAAAAAATGACAATGTCCATAAAATTCAGCCAAGCTTTCAAAGTCCAGTTAAAATATCAGGTAAGAGTTCTTAGCTTCCTACAGTCTACACAAGAATTACAGAATGAAAATTATTTTATTTTCTGTTCCCCTTATTCTTTCTCCATCAGCAATTCCACAGATACTTCTCAATAGTTTGCTTTATGATATAGAACATAAAATTAGACATGACGTACTATGCAATATGCATTCAGGCAATAAAATGGCAGGTGAAATTGAAGGCTGATTAAGGCAAAGAAATGGATGTGAGGAAAATGTGTTCCTTACTATCATCACATATGATAGTGCTATTACCACCTAGGAAGGAAATTTTGAGGCTATTCATACCGTTCAGTGAAAATGTAAGCTTTGCCAAGTGATGAGCAAAACGAGTAGTGAGAATACTTGGTATTATTAGGAAAGGAGCACAACCCCATCTGGAATGCAGCATGCACAGTTCTCTTTTCTCCATCTCAGAAAGGATATAATTGAATTTAAAAACATTCAAATAAAGGACAAGGATTCAAATCGTTTAACAGCTTCTCTAAGAAAAAGGTTAAACAAAGAAGGACACTTCATCTTTGAGAAGAGTTGACAGAGTGGGGATTTGATGGAAGTCTACAAAGCTGTGAATAGGAGGTCTATTACCCTGTACTTCTCATGAAACAAGAGCTATAGGTCATCCAATAATATTGACAGACAACAGACTTTAAACAATTGAAAGAAAAGTTATAATGTTGTTTTGTTTCCATATGGAGCACATTTAAGGAGTGGAACTCATTGTCATAACATATGGTGGAACTGAAAGCATGACTTCAAAAAGGAATTAGACAAGCAAGTGGAGAGAAAGTGCATTGAGACTTGTCACAGGTGGAGACATAGAAAGTTTCTAAACCACAAACTGCTAGTGGGTAAAATGGAGAGCAGTATTACTCTATCCTTGCCTATTCTTTCATCCTTTTACCTCTTCGTCTGCTACTGACTGTAGTTAAAAAGTTTGTGAGCTTTAGGTGTGCCTGGTTTTGTATTTCTATGCTGAAACGTTTTGTTTGAGCCTAATGGCAGCTGCTGGTTTTGTGTCATCAAAAGAGTTTATTTCAGTGAAATAAAGTGAAACACTATATTGTCCTCTAAGGTGCATAAAGTGTTTAGCATAAAACTAGTATCAATTTTCTTAGGTACTAACAGTGTATCAGTAATGGCCAGTGAGTGTGTCAACACGCTAAAGATTTAAACATGAAGGATTGGTCTTACACGGAGGGTAGACATGTTGTAATTGACCCCAAGCTCTAGTTGGAGTGAACTAGTCCTCTGTTAAATATTCTTTTAATTAAATGGCAAATGGTTTACAAGCCCACCAGTAACTCCTTAGACGTGTACCGCATAATACAGAGCCTCAGTGAGAAGTGTGGTCCTGCCAACCTGTCTGGGCTGGTGCCTTCTGGTAGGGCCCCCCCTGAGCCCAGGCTACAGTATATCACAAGGATGTAAAGAAAAGTCCCCAGGGCTGTCCTGTTAGTGGGGTGATGCAGGTCTGACTTCCGGGAGCCAGAGACAGAAGCCAACACGTGTGCCTCATGCCTCATCTGTGGCTTGAGAGGTTGGGATGTTGCCTTAAGTTGATGTGGAAACCTCAGGTAAAATTCCTCATGTGAATGTTCCTCCATCTCCCAGAGGGTCAATGTGGTTACTTGTTTTGCTCCTGAACACCAAGACGTGTTCTTAGCTCTGACCCTGAAGAGCATATTCACCGGTTTTGTCTGAAATATGTTGCTACTCTGTGAGACTGGAGATGGAAAGTGGGTCCTAGCACCTGCCCATAATGAAATGAAAGATTCCCAAATTATATGCTGTAAAAAAAAAAAAAAGGTGGCTGCTGTCAGTGACACCTTGTGGTTTTGTTTGGTTTTTTTTTTTCTAATTGGTAAATATCAAGAATAAATGTATTTGGAATTGCATTGGTTGGAAAGTACATTAAATGTATTTGGAATTGCAGCATTGCTCTGGCTCAAGGCTTTTTGCCATTTGGAAGGGTTTAATACAATTTTGGGGAGGGTGTGTACCCCCTAGGGCACATGTACTCTGTGTCTGTGTGACTGAATATGTCACATGATGGGTACGACAGAGAGAAGATGGACAAGGTGAATCACAGAATGGTTTGGTTTGGAAGGGACATTAGAGCTCATCTAGTTCCAACACCACTGCCATGGGCAGGGACACCTTCCACTAGACGAGGTTGCTAAGGGCCCCCTCCGGCCTGGCCTTGAACACGGCCAGGGATGGGGCAGCCACGGCTTCTCCAGGCAACCTGTGCCAGCACCTCAGCACCTTCATAGTGAAGAAATCTTTCCTAATATCTAAACTAAATCAGAGCAATAGTGCCTGGCTGATGGACAGAACCTAGCAGCAAAGGGAACCCTCCTGCGAGCCTGTATATAGAGGAGCTGTGGAAACCATGTTAACAGAATAATGCATGTTTTGTTTTAATTCTAAATCAGTTTTGGTAGAGACGAGTCATGATTAATTGGAGGAAGATTTTCCTACCTATGCAGCTATCCAAAAGCATCTTGTGGTAATTAGTTTTATTATTTAAGTTATTGCTGCGAAAAATTTAAGCACATAGGCAGAAATTTGACGATAATTCGTATTTGACCCGTCTGGATGTTGCGCACTGGAAATGGTTCCAGTGTCTGCAAGCGTCGTCAGCAGATGGCGGTAGATGCTAGCGTCTGAAGCTGTTCACACGGCAGTGAAATGCTGTAACTCGTGGGTCATGTCAAGGACACTAGGGAAACACTGGCATTCATGTTGGTCATAGTGCAGCTTTCTACGTGGCTTGCAGACCTAGAAAAGCAGCCAAAAATGTTTTATATTTTCTGAAAAAAAACCCCCAAAACCCCAGACTGTTCCGCACGTGGTCCTGCTTAGGGTGGTAGGTAATGGGGAAGAAAGGGTCCTCCTCTTAGGTGAAACCTGAATTTGAGTTGATAGTGTAAATCTTACTCTGCAGTACAGTGTTGGTTCAAAATGAGTCATGAGTGAAGAGTGATTCTGCTGGGATTCCGTGTTCTTACCACCCCCAAACATACTCTGCTGAAGTGAGTCGTAGTAAAATACAGACTGAAAGTCAAAGATTACTTTCTCAAGAAAAACATGGAAGTGAATTCTGGTTTTACCTTAATGTAGGAACATGTAAATGTACATTTGAAAAGATTACCTCCCTTCTTTTTCCTGTCTTGTCTCCTGCTCATTACTTGAAGCCATTACTTGAAGCCATTACTTATAGTTTAAACTTAAACAGGAGAAGTTTAGATTTGATATAAGGAAGAAGTTCTTCACAGTGAGGGTGGTGAGGCACTGGAATGGGTTGCCCAAGGAAGTTGTGAATGCTCCAACCCTGGCGGGGTTCAAGGCCAGGCTGGACAGAGTCTTGGGCAACATAGTTTAGTGTGTGGTGTCCCTGCTCATGGCAGGGGGGTTGGAACTAGATGATCTTAAGGACCTTTCCAACCCTAACTATTCTATGATTCTATGATAGTTGAAATTTGTTTGAGGATTCTGTGTGTCTTGTGTCTATCATATTTTTTGCCACAGATTAATTTCCTTTTGTTTGTGCTGATAACACAAGGCTGTAACACAGGGTTCTCAAGCGCCTTAAGACACTTACTTGAGTCAGTGCTGATTTGTGTAGAGATGTATGTTCATTTTATGGTGGCCCCAGCTTCATTTAAGATTGTGTGACCAAAATAAATCCTTGTGGCTTGCCTAGTTTGCCTTTCCATCTAGCATAAACGTGGATTAACTTTTCATTCACATCAAATACTATTCTTTAATTATAACCTCTCCCAATGGTAATAAGTCAGTGGAATTAGGTGTAAGTTTTAGCTATTCTCGATTGAAGACTTCCTACACAATGAGAAACAAACAAGCAGAGTTGAAGGCAGTATAGAAGATGGTATTGCTTTACGTGACTTAAGGATGGTGGTTGAATTAACTTGGAAGATCACTTTGTATTTCCTTTTTCCTGTCTTTTTGATTTTTGCTTAGTTGGCTTAAGCCTGGGACTGTCTAGCAAAAATACAATTATGTTTTGGTAGTGGTAGGTTGCAAAACGTGGATGAGCTGCCATTCTGCGGAGTGCGATGGGAAATTTGCCACTGGCAATAACAGCTGAAACTGGGCCTTGCTTCAAATTCTGTGTCATGAATTGATTACATGAATAAAATTGCTTAAGCACTGGCAGTTTGCAGATGTAAGAAGCTGTGAAACCAACTCTCTTTATTCCTGCTTTCATGTGCAGATCGATCTTCAACATCATGCACACATCTCAGTTCCTAACCATGTCAATTACATATGATATGCAGTTGTTTTCTAGCTTTTCTTTTTTTTTTTTTGATTCTCATTTTGTTTCTTTTCTTGTCCTGGCAGAAATCATGCGATCAAATGGATTTTGTTTAGCCAACACTGAAACAATAGTCATTGACCACAGTATACCAAATGGAAAAGAGAAGCACCTGGATGTAGATTCAGCAGAACACTTGTAAGTGGGGTTTGTGCATCAGTAATGCTATCAATCAGATTCAGATACACTGAACCTTTCCAACCCCCTCTCCCAGCAAAATGTTATCCTCTGTCTAGGAGCAAGACAGGTATGGCTGTCATTCTGACTGGTTAAATATTACTGGGCCTGATTGCTAAGGCTTCACAGCTCTTTCTATTAAAATGGCTGTTGGTGAGAATGATTGACACATCCAGTCCTCTGTGTATGAATAAAAGCTGGGACTGGCATAGATGTCCTGCCAGGTGAGAATAGTTTTTCTTTTTCTCTCATGACTGTGATGAGTGCTGGTTTGAGCTCCTTATGAACATCCTTACAAATGGAATATCCTACGACAAAGAGTATTCTTTATTTGGGAAGCAAAACACCATCCTCAGAGGGACACACATCCCTGAACGTAATCAAAGGAAGCTCAGCAGCTGCTCAGGTGCTGTGATGCAGGGACTTAGTGAAGCATGTGTATTTCATTAGGGCAGGGGGAAGCTAGACTAGTCTTATTTGTAAATTCTGCCTCCTAATGCATGTAGGTATTCTGGGGTTGGAGACCTGTAAACAGGAGGGCTTTTGTGTAGGTCTTAAATTAGCGACTGTGTTGACAGGTGGGTATTGACGGAAGTCTGCTCTTACAGATTTCTGTCATAGCAGGTGATTGATATTTCAATAAGCTTCAGGTAGTGAAGCATTTAGATATTTTTAATGAGGAACACTGACCTACTTTTTCATTAGAGCAGTCAAAATGATGGAAACAGAATACTAAAAGCCTTATGGGGGCTTTATCTTTGAATGCAGTGCTTTGTCTTGCCACAACTGAAATGTGGCCATTGCCAGTCTGTGGAAAGGTTTACAGCTTGACAAGATTTTGTCAGGGGTGGGACTGTATCTCTGGCTCCAGTGTAATTTCTTGAAGCCTTTCTATTAATTTATCACTTAGTGTTTTGAACCTTGACCTTGCTAACAGCATCTAAGATTATAAGCTTGTATTAATGAGGCTGAAGCAATACACTGGAGGTAATTCTGTAAGGCCAATGTCTGGAAATTAAAGTTGTCCTGGTTCATAGTGGATCACTTTTTAGTACTAAAAGTGACAAATAATAGGAGCAAATTACCAAAGAAAGCATTTTCCTGCCTCATTCTGTTTATTTAAAAAAATATATTTTGAAAAAAATTAAAATCTGATTTCGATCTTTAAAACGTGCTGCAGCCCAAGTGAAACTTACTAGTCTGGACCAGAAACTGCCATCATCTAATTGTCATCCCCTTGAAGTCAGAGACTATTAAGGCCAGAAAATACTAATATAAAAACTGTGTGTAGTCATGGTTTCCCAGAAACTGCAGTGGAAGAAATAAACCTAGGATAACAGCCTGGCTTCGTGCATTTGTATTTTATCTTCCCCGAAGGAACTTAAATCAAGAGTCAGGAAGTTAATAAATTTTAAATGTCTATTTTACATGGTTCCCTAAATTTGCCCGTCCTGTAGCTGTACCATGTTGCTGAGAGGTAATAGCTAGGAGATAATAGTATTTGTGTAGTACAGCTCTTCTGTAAAAACTGAACTTTTTTAAGAAGCAAAAGTTTTCTATGCTGTTTCTTTCAACATAGGTAGTAGACTAGAAAGGAAGCTTTAAAATCTTTTAAGATCTTATGCAGTTCCTTTTTGGTCTCCGTAAAATTGGATTTGCAGGATTGGTGTCTTCTATTCTGAAATAAATTAATTCCTTGTGGACTTGTATATCCTCAGATGGGAACTTTTTCCTTCCAGCAACATTGAACTCTGTGTGACTTCTGGGTTTTGGCTGCTGATGTATTTGAACTAGAAATTTTGCAAAGCAAATCTGTATTTTTTGGGGAAGTACTTGGAGCTTCAAGAGGTAGCATTCTTTCCCTGAGCTCCTGCAGCACTGCTTAGCTGTTGTAGCCTGCAGTGCTACCTACCCAGTGATCCATCAGCTGAAAAGTCTCATACTTCTTGCAGAAGAAACTATAGCATTTTTTCAAGCTGAAGTTGCTTACTGTTGTTCTGAAGTAGTTGCTTTCTGCTTCCTTCATTTTCTCTCTAATTTTAGTTGGCAGTACACCGAACTGTTGGAAAATGTGCTGAACCCAGTGTGCTCAGCATCCATGTGGCATAAATAGTTCTTTTATGTGCGGTTCTTGGAGTCCTTTGTATTCCTTTTGAAAGGAAAGGTGGTAAATTACTGACTGGATGGCAAAGCCCGAAGAGTGCTGGTAAATGGTGTCACATCTAATTGGCGACTGGTCACTAATGGTGTCCTCAGGGCCAGTGTTGTTTAATATCTTCATTGATGATTTGGATGAGAGGATTGAGTGCACCCTCAGTAAATTCACAGATAACACCAACTTGGCTGGGAGCACTGATCTGCTGAAGTATAGGAAGGCTGTGCAGAGGGATCAGGACAGGCTTGATCGATGGGCTGTGGCCAGTGGTATGAGGTTCAACAAGAAAAAGTGACAGATCCTGTATTTGGGCCACAACAACCCCCTGCAATGCTACAGGTTTTTTGGCCCTGGGGGTGCTGACTGATGGCTGAACATGAACCAGCTTGTGCCCAGGCAGCCAAGAAGGCCAACAGCATCCTGGCCTGTATCAGTAATAGTGTGGCCAGCAGGACCAGGGCAGTGATCGTCCCGCTGTGCTGGGCACTGGTGAGGCTGCACCTAAATCCTGTGTTCAGTTCTGGGCCCCTCACTGCGAGAGAGACATTGAGGTGCTGGAACGGGGCCAGAGAAGCAGGTTCCACCAGTGAATCTGGTGAAGGGTCTGGAGCACAAGTCTTATGAGGAACAGCTGAGGCAACTGGGGTTGTTTAGTCTGGAGAAGAGAAGGCTCAGGGCGGACCTTATCACTCTACAACTACCTAAAAGAAGGTTGCAGTGAGGTAGGTGCTGGTCTTGTCTCCTCCCGAGTAACAAGCGATAAGATGAAAGGAAACAGCCTTAAGTTGTGCCACTGATCCAGCCTGTCCAGATCCCTCTATAGAACTTTCCTACCATCAAGCAGATGAACACTCCTGCCCAAATTGACAGTGTCTGCAAACTTACTAAGGGTGCACTTGATCCCCTTGTCCAGATCATTGATAGAGGTATTAAACTAAACTGGCCCCAGTACCGAGCCGTGAGAAACACCACTTGTGACCAGCTGCCAACTGGATTTAATTCCATTCATCACAGCTCTTTGGACCCAACCATCCAGATAGTTTTTTACCTGGCAAAGAGTACACCTGTCCAAGCCGTTAGCTTCTGTGTACCTTGCTTCCCTCTTCTTCCCGGCAAATGTGAGCAGCAACTCCAGTGCATTAGCAGAGGTTAAAAGGATAAGGAAGGTTATCTTACAGGACAAAAAGTGTCTGTCAGGGTACTTTGGGGAAAAAAATAGCAAGGGCAACAGTTTGGGCATTTAAGAGTCTGAATGTCCGTAGTAGTTTGCAAAGTTTATTTTGGGAAAAAGACCTGCACACAAGCATTTTGACTATTGGGTGTCCTATACAGCTGCTAGCTGTAGTAGCCAGTCCTGGTTTATTTGGTTTGGTTTCATATGAGCAATCTAGAGCAGTGCTTTGCAGGCTCTGTGCCCATGCTTCCTTTTTGGTGGCAAGGAAGGCTTTCCGGGTAACCACAGCATGTGAATGCAGCTGCTTTGTACCTCACGTGCCCCTTGTAGTACCCTATCAGTGAAGCTGAAGAACCACAGAATCTGTGGGCCCTTCCTGTTGTAATAATCTAGTTTTATACAGTTGACAAGAGAAGGGGAGCAGAATCTGAATAACCTTCTTGACTCCTTTCTTCTTTCTGTCTGCTCCACTGATATGCATAATCTGTTGTTTCTGGATCACTAGCAGTCCGTAAGACAGCACAACATGACCTGTGAAGTGTTTGCAAGATACCAAGTCAACTCCCTTCCGCACGTGTTCCCACACACACAGGCAAGCAAACAGCCTGGAGGGTGTAGAGGAATGAGGGTAATAAACATTCGAAGTTCAGTCTCATTTCTATTTCACTGTAAGTAAAGAGCATAGCAACAGCACTGCAGGAGAAAATCAAGGTGTTTCTGCTCAAAAACATTGTGACCCTCATAGTTAAAAAAGAGGGGAGGAGGACCAGGTAAGAATGTGGAAAAAGACAGATGTATGGCCATACATTGCAGGATTTCTTTTTCTATCTATCTTGTGCATTTTTTCAGTTTCTATTTTTTTTTTCTTACTCTAGCAGAATGAATGCAAGTTCTTTCAAAATATTAAAGAGAGAGTGTGAGAAAAAGAAATTGGACAGTTCTTCAAGTCCTTTGCTTGAACTGTGATGAGATTTAATCCTTGGCCTGCGGTGGCTGCCTTTAACTGCTAGGCTATCTGGGAAGTTGTAAAATGTCTTCTTACTCCAAAAATTTAAGCCTCCTTGGAACAGGCATGTGTATAAGTGAGGAAGGTGTAGGTGTAAAAGTTGATGCTTTTGGGTTGAGAACAGGCAGGAGACGGTGGGTAATCCCTGCAAAAGTTCAGGTTTTAACACAGGCGTTAGAAAGTGGGAAGGAAAATACCAAAGCAAGTGAACTAAATGTGTGAATCTCTCTCTATCTGAATATTCTCTGCTTGTCAAAACCTAAATCTTGTGCCATGGGGAGGACAGCGAGGCTCTGGAAGAAGAGAACTGTAGTCATCGTTTCCTATTCGTGTTAGACATTTGACCTCATACAAAAGCCAAACCCAGAGAAGACACTTCACTACCTGTGAAGTGAAAGGGTGAGAGTCCAAGTTCAGACTGGAAACAAAGGCAGTTTCGTTTCCACTTTTGTGTGGGAACTGAGGCATTTTGTGTTGTTGCTACATGCTGTGAGAACAAATGGAAGGATGTGTACCTCAGCTGCATGATTCAGTCTTCCAGGGTTCACTTGCTGCTTCTTTCCTTCCTTACTAGAAGCTCTGAAAGTCAGGGGTAACAAGATTATTTGCTTGTATGCGTCATGGTTCTCATTGGCCTGTGGCTTATTCATATACACATGGGTGGGGGAGGAAGAGGTGCGGATGGGGTCAGCTCTGAGTCTTTCTGTGAAGATTTTCCCATTCCCCAGAGAAAACTATTATGGACTCATGAAAATGTCATTGTAGAGGTAGCCAGGATTGCCTGACAAGAAAGACTGTCCCAGGAAATGATTCATTTGTCAATAGGAAGGGAGCCCTTGGGCCTGAAAGCAAATTAATGTTTTTAATCTGGCTCATCTTAAATGCAGTGTGGTAAACAGTGAGATACAAAGTTCAGGTATTACACTGATAAGTGCTGTGAAGAGTCAGTGTAACACAAGAGAGGACTCATAAAAGTCCCTTTTACTGAAGACTGCTGTCTAAAGACAAGAAAACTTGCTCTCCTAGTATGCTGTGCAGCTGTGTTTCAGCACAGTTTTAAATGGGAATAGCCATCCTGTTTTACTGAAAGCAAAATCTTCAGCTCATTCATTTCCATAGGTACAAAGAAGCAGGCTTTCTGTTTATTTGAGGACATGGAGAGCAGTGGTTTCTGTTCACATCTCAACTCTCTCTAGAAAAGTTGAGTCTTGGTTTATGAAAGTGACTGTAGATGCCATTGCAGGTGTGGCCTACCTTAATGATATGTGGGCTGATGACAGAGAAACTATAGTTTCATCATTCACAGTTGATCTGCATGCATCTTAATTGATAACTTCTACTATGAATTTGAGTGTCAGGCTGCCAAGAGAGGGAGTGAGATACTTCAGCTTTGGAAAAAGAATTGAAACGCTAGAACTTTATCTTGCAAACTAAGCTTCACAAAGCTGAAGCTGCAAACCAGCATTAGAAGCACTTCTACTGCAACACTGCTTTGGTGTGAAGCACGTCCACCTATTACATTTACTCAAAATTTGAACGTGTAGTACCAGCAGAAGCATTCTTGCCTGCAACCTTTTTTCCAAGTAGTCCCTCACAAATGTCTTTTCTCAAAGTTTCCAGGGGTCAGTCCTCAGATAACCTAGACTTCTCCCTCTCCCTCAGTGCCCTTCTTCCAGCTCCTTTGACTTTGATTTTCTAAACGAACATGAATGACTTAATGCCTTTCAGTGTTTATGGGTTTTATTTATTTATTTCTCCTTAGGTTTGAAAGTGTTAGTGACTTCACCTCAGAGCTAGAAGACAGCGATGATCCAACAGCTTATGTCACCAATTTGACATACTACCACTTGGTCCCGTTCGAGACTGATATTCTGGACTGAGGCTGCTCAGTGATGCAGTCAGCCAGCATCCAGCCGACCTCTTTGTCCAGGCTCTGCTATCCCCGGTGTTGCATCTCTGTGAATAAGGCTGTGCAGGCCAAGACCAGCAGCAGAGAAGTTACAGCAAGTGCACCACAAAGTTGGTTTTGTAGTCTGGCCCTCTGCTATTTGTCATGGTGACATCTTGTAAGGAGATAACTGCTTTGCTGTTGACAACAAACTCGTTTTCTGTGCAAGCAAGACAGCAGAGGCCTCTTGGAGCTCAAGGAAATCTCTGCTCTGCCTGTGGGAATGCCGCTCTGACACAGCCATTGGAAACTTGTGCTGTAGTACACTGTCACCCACGCTGCTTGGGTTGCAGTGCAAGTTGAGGCTTCCTCTTTTAGGATACCATGGGAAACTTCCCCAGATGGCGTGACCACGCGTTTTATGCTATGTAAGCAAGAAGGCAAGCAAAGCAGCTGAATTTTGTCAGTTCCCTCTGTGGTTGCTTAATGGAGGTCTTGTGGGTCACTTTTTGCTCAGCTACCGGATGACTGGTGCCTTACACGAGATGTCAGAAATACCATCGAGTGCCTACAGGAAACAGAACACATGAGCTGACTGCTTTACTTCTTTTAATTATGGGGTTTTATATAATTACTGGAGAAGCGACTACTCTTTCCTGGAATAGTAAAGCAGACAGCAGCTGGCATTTCAATGGACTGTGCATGATTTTGGGGTACCTGTATGATTTCAGAGATCTGGAAAGCTGCTGGGAAAGCTGAGCTGCCCTGCTAAAAAGGGTCAAGGCTATGGCAGGCACTTGGATATGATTTTTTTTCAAGTGGACTGGCAAATGTGAATGGTGCTTACAGTTGTTTACATCAGAGAGAGAATTCCCTATGCATATTTCTTCCCAGAGGATGAGAAGGAAGGCAATGAGATTTATGTTGTATATGGACTGAAGAAGAATGATAAGCTACAGTGTTTCTACAGTGGTAGAAAAAACATTCTCTCCTCTGTCAGCCTGGCTCAAGGACACTGTCTAGCTTTTCAATATCTGCCTGTGGGGCCGGGAGCAGCCCTCATTGTCGCTTAATGCCATGGATTTTAGTGGAGGAAGGACAGTGAGAGCAAGAGTGGGATTGGAGCCTGCAGCCTCATGACTACTGAGTAGTTGCAATGTTGAAATCTCCTTGGGGTCTCTGTCTTGTGGAGCACTCTGAAATCCCAGCTCTCACTGTGAGTGCTCAACATAAACGTGACCTTTCATTGAGTTTTTTGTGATCTGTTTGCAAACATGAGTTAGAAGGGATCAAAATGGGAAAGAATGCATTTTGGACTTGTTTCTTGGTAAAGGGGCATGCTTGGTCCTGAAGAAGTTGATACATCTCCCTTCTGGAGACTTTCCATTTCTATCTATAGAGTAACACTCAAACAGAATTTGCTAATGTAAATAATAAATTATTGAGAATCCTAATTCTTTTACACAGTATGTTTTAAAATATATTTTAATGAAATAAAATATAACTCACCTTCAGTACATGTCTGCAGCTTGAAACAGTGGCTTCCTCTTTTTATTTTTGTTTGTTTGAAGACACTTTCCCAGCCATGCCAAATCCACTTTCTTTTTCGAGTAGTTTTGGAACATGTTGAGTTTGGACAATTCTTTCTGTGCTCCAGGAGTTGCCCATACTGTAGCTATGGTGTATTCCCCTGTCAAACCTTTCCATCTAACTGCTGATCTTGTGTCTAGGTGTTTGTGGTTTAATGCTGCTAAATTTGGTGGAGGAATTCTGCATTTTCAAGACTGTAAATAAAATCAAATCTGGCAGTTGTTGTTCTTGAAGATAAAGCAGATTCTTTTATGATAAATTTCTGGAATAGAAAGGGATATGTTCTCACTCATGTGAAGGCTTTCTGAGTAGCCTGAATTAGAATGGGAAGGTTTCCTGTCTGTTAATTTGTTTACTCTCATTAGTTTTTAACTCTTCTTTCAGTGCTTTTAGTTATGCATGATGGGGTAGAAATAGCGTCTAGTAAACATGTGCGTTGGGCTGGGAATTGGATTATTCGATTTCAGTTCCTGGCCCTGCTGTCAGCCTACCATATTGCTTTAGGTAATTCTACTTCATTTCCCTATCCCTGAGTTTCCCTTGAATAATATTTTGAAAAGCACTAAGCGTTATTGACTTTTGATGCAATATTGTATCCTGATTAATTTGAATTTTCTTATGGATTTTTAGTCACACGATAACTACTTATCTTTTTCAAAGCACTTTAAAATACCTGGATTAAAAAATAGATAGATAAGTATTGCCAATTTTAAAAATGTACAACCACATCCCTCATATGAAACCCAGCTAAGGTGCGTACAGTGAAGTCTCCAGGGAAGGCAGAGTCTAATGCAAAAGAACTAATCTACAAACCAAAGCTGCACCCATTTCACTTGGATTTTTCAAAAGCCATTTTGATTGAGTATTTTCCAGAGATGACGTCATGTGATTTATTTCTCTTAGCTGCAGTATGTTTATTTGATAAATCAAAGGAATGCAAATGGCCGTGTGTATTACTTTGTCCATAGAGTCAATTAAAAAACCCTTCTTCAGTTAAATCGCTGCAACTTTCTCATACGGATCAGGCCTCTACAACCAGGAGAGGTTCAGAGTACGAATTATGCATATGGTTGATTCATATGTACAGATACCTTACTATTGATCAAAAAAAACATTAAGTTTGAACACATGGTTGGAAAGGAACACAGACTTTTTTTTTCTTTTTCTTCTTTTCAACTACCTCTAATTATAGACTAGTAGCATCCTGCAAGAAAACAGCCTAAACTCATTGTCCAGGTATCATTCCATCAAATTTTGACTTTTGATGTAGCAGGATGCTCAACTTTTCCAACTGTGCTTCAGTTTCCATTCTGTTTGGTAGCATGTCATGGCAAAGTTACAAAGAGAGCATCACTTACAACAGCACATGGGTTAATATAGTAATTCTGAACACTTTAGGTGTGGAAGGGATGTATAGCAACCTGATCTAGTTGAAGATGTCCCTGCTCATAGCAGGGAGGTTGGACTAGATGACCTTTGAAGATCCCTTCCAACCCAAACTAATCTATGAAGAGAAATGAGCGAGACAAGAATTTTATCCCAAAACCCCTCTCTGTAATGCGAAGCTGCTTCCTACATAAACTGTGTTAAGAAGCTGGTCTTTATTTTCTCTGCGACTTTGTCTTCTCCCTTTGGAACACAGCATGGGGATCATTTGTGATCCCAGTTACCATGTTCCTGTATTCCAGCTCTTGCTATTAGCTGCAGAATAGAGTTGAAGTATGCTGGTATCCAGTGAAGGAGCAGGAGGTATGTGTCTCTTAGCAGGAATAGCGATGACAAAATCATTTGGTTTTTACTATTCAAGTCATGAAATATGCTGGCATTATAATGTTGCCAAATCTTAATAGAGTTAGGGAGGAGAAAGGGTATCACATGATGCTGTGTCTTGTCCACCTGTCTTTTGGGGGTTTTTTTTGTTACAGCAAATGCTTTTTAAAAGCTCAGCCTTGAATTCTGAGGCCATTCTTCATAGCAGGAACAATCTGTAGCTCAGCATCAAACTCTTAAAAAAAAAAGTTTCCTAGTTGCTTCCTATAATAATATCCATTCCTGTTCCAGTCAGCTACCTCTGAATTCCCTTCCCCACACATACGCAAATTATTCAGGCTTATACATTGGTCAGCTTTCATCAGTGTAATTGCTGCCCTATGGAAATATTCACACCCTGAAGTGCAGTTCCCAAGTTTTATAGCACACAGAGCATTCCCATTTTCAGTGTTGTCAGGTAATTTCTTCTTGCTCTAAAACCAACCCCATTATAATTAACACTGTTAGTCATACATACATTGGGGGATTTAGGTAAGGGAAAAATACCAAGGTAATAAGATACATAATACAACTAGATATAATAAACGGAGACTTTGCATTCACCTAAAAGTCCATAGCAAGCAGTGAGGATGTGCAAGTTCCCTGGGTGCATTTACAACTGAATTATATGAATTCAGACTTTCTTGGGGTTTCCCAGTCCCCATTATCGTGCATTTCTTACAATTCATGTATATAAGCCCACCGTGCTCTGGTGAGAGAGAGGACAGCTTAAAGTTTTGTGTCACAGAAGAGGATGTGGAACACCAAGAGGTGTCCGAGACAGGATTTGGCAGTGCTTAGTTTTCATCCTAGCAGGACATCTAGCAGGCAGATGCCTTGCATCGTAGAATGGGAGTTGCTGCTGAGGTTTAGATTGTCGTTCTTCGCTTGAAAGGGAACCTGCTCATGTAAGGATTTAGAAAAAACCTCCTTATTCTCTAAAGATGCTGTGTCAAACTTTACATAGTAGTAAAATTCATTTTCTGTTGTCTTGTGAGGCTACTACCTGTCTAAACTGAAGAGCTGGCTGGTACCAGATCAGCTCTCAGATGCAGGAGGGTCTGCTACTACCAGAGAGGACTGGATTAGACCCCCGCTCCTGCCTTGGCCGCAGAGAAGCCTTCAACACCCATCTTCTAGTCCTCAAATTCTGCTGAACAGTTTTCTGAAACTGTTAGATAGAAATAACAGCTGATGTGCTGGCAAGAAGAAAACCCAAATGGGAACACTGAGTCCTGATTAAAAGCATCCCAGCATCAGCTTTTTGTGTGTTTTCCAAGTAAACTTCAAAACATAGAGGATTCTTCTCTAAAATACTTTACAGAATTTATTGGAGCTCCATGTAAGACCTTGCATTTCCCTCTGGTACAGAAATTTCTGATACAAGCTAGCAAAAATCAGTACTTGGTCACAGTTGCAGTGTGTGTGTTTCTAAGGTCTGTGAGCTTCCTTTGGCTCTCCTGGAATCTCATGGGAAGCACTCAGTTCCTCAGAGGCACTGGTCCTCTTTGTGTCATGACCTTGAAGTGCCTCCAGCATTCGGGGAGCACTCCAAGCAGCTGTAGTTATTTCCATTTCTAAGTTAGCTTCAAT